AAAAAAATGTACAAAATGATGTAAAAATAAACTTTTGTAATAAAAAAAATCATCTTCTATTTTAAAAATACAAGATTTATACATTTTATAGATTTTTATATATATGTATATATACATAGATATTACTTTTTTTAGATCTTATATTTTTAAAAGCTTATGTTTTAAAAATAAATTCTTCCTCAAAATATTGCCTCCTGGGGGCCCTCCCTGGTGGTGCAACAGGTTAGGACGCAGCACTGCAAGCCAGCAGCAGTGAGAGTTCGATCCCTGCCCAGAGGGAACCCACAGGGCGCGGCAGACCTCTCCTGACCCACCCCCTGCTCCCCTCAGCAGTGTACTTTGTAATCTGCCTGCTCTGCTCCCCACTCTGTCTCTGGTGAAGCCTTTCACCGCCCCAGCACTTCTGGCCTGTACCCCAGTCTGTATGCATAAATAAATATTTCTTTAAAAAAATATATTGCCGGCCCTCCCTGGTGGTACAGCGGGTTAAAGCACTGCATTGAGAAGCTAAAGCCACCTCCACATGAGTTCGATCCCCGCCTGCCTGCCCCGGAGGTGACCACATGGCGAGGCAGACCTCTCCTGACCCGCCCGCTGCTCCCCTCAGCAGTGTACTTCGTAGATCTGCCTGTCCTGCTCCCCACTCTGTCTCTGGTGAATCCTCTCACCCTCCGCATCTCTGCCCTGTCCCCCAGTTCTGTATGAATAAATAAATATATCTATATATATATATATATATATATATATATATATATATATATATATATATATATATATATATATATATATATATATATATATATTGCCTCCTGGTTGCTAAAAGATCGTTTATATAACTGCACATGTAAGCCATGGGGCCTAGATTCCTTCTAATCTCTGCCTCCTTTCTGATCTTTCCCACTTTACCTCGAAATGTTAGAGATCTAATGATCAGCAAACAATCTAACCTCCTAATGTGTTGAGTAGTAGGGCGTTAAAAGAATAAAAACCAAGAAAAACTAACACACTCCAGTTCAAAATTAAAGTATCAGACATCCGAATCCAGTCCGCTTGACAATTAAAATATTTTGAGGACTACAAGAAAACAGATCTTTTAAGATGAGCCTGCAAACAAAACTGGAAAGTTAAAAGATGGCTAGATTCTGAACTGAAAAAAAATCAAGTTGAACTCCAGCCCAGCTGTCCTTTCCAACTGCAATCTGTTCATCAGAAAACAGTCAGGCCCTGGTTTTCCCCTCTTAGCATAATGTTTGTGTGCTTTGACTTCAGAAACAAAAAATTGGGGGATCAGGCCTGTAAGTCCACTAGCCTAGTTATTCATCTCACTCTTCATCATAGAGAAGAGGGACCCACCAACCCACCAACCGGCCGGCAGCTCTCAGCACAAGGAACTGGAAAGTCATAAGAGACAATTCATTGCTGACAAGGCAGTGAAAATGTTCCTCGCTAGAAAGAAGCTATCACACTCTTCAAATATTTATCCCCAGCCTCATGGAAATGCCACTATCACAAACTGCCCAGCTCCCTGCTATGCATCTTCTCCCAGCTCTAAACGGAATCATTTCTCCGGTACTTATTTTCCAAGCCACTCTTTTTATTTACATTATTGCTCTCTCTGTGGAGAGTTGCTGCCTGAAGCGGTCAGAATGCTGGCGTTTTAGGAGTAAAGAAAAAAATCACTCTTCTCCGTGAAAGGTAAAGAGGTATAAGACCATTTTCTTTAGGCAAAAGGTGGTAGAGATTGAAGTCAGCAGCAGCCTAGTTTCAACAAAC